CAGAAATGAATAAAACATTAAGAAAAAGAAATATGACTTATTGAAATACATCTGTTCATTAAATCAAAAAACGTTTGTTGATCGCTCTGATATCCTAACCATAGTGTGAGGTCTTGGTCCCTGCCCTCAAGGGATACACACAATATTTAGGGAAAGAAACAAAATCAAATTATTGAAAAGAAAGTATGATAAGTACTATGACAGAGAGGTGAATAAAGTGCTATGAAAATACCAGAAAGAGATACTTGCTGTGTCTCAGAATTAGGGGAAAGCTTCGTGGAAAGTCTGACATTTGAGCTAGGAAGGTTATATAAGGCATGGTCTGGAGCAACTGGCCTGTTCGGGATACAATGGGAATGTCACAGTGGCTGGGGAGAAAACACATGGACAGAAGAGACTGGGGACATGGGAAATTTACAAGGTCAGGCTAACCGTTTTAATTATCGTCTGAGGCATCCGGCAGGCAGTGGGGGGACCCATTAACTCACCCTCTGCTTTGCCATCTGAGCTATCTTTTTAAAAGTATGTTTTAGGGGCGCCTGGGTGGCTTAGTCGGTTAAGCGTCCGACTTTCGCTTAGGTCATGATCTCGCGGTTCGTGGGTTCGAGCCCCGCGTCGGGCTCTGTGCTGACTGCTAGCTCAGAGCCTGGAGCCTGTTTCAGTCTGTGACTCCCTCTCTCTCTGACCCTCCCCTGCTCACGCTGTCTCTCTCTCTCCTAGAAATAAAATAAAACATTAAAAAAAAATTTAAAAAAAAAAAGTATGTTTTATGATGTTAATACCCCTCTCAAAGCCACAAAGTCACTCAGCCACCCCAAAGTATTATGTAATATGGGTTTCCACATGTTGATGAGGCCTCCAGATAGACATGAACATGAAAGTCATATTGTGGAAGCACTAGTCCACATAAGTCATTGAACTTTCATGGCCTTGGCCCTACTTCCTGGTATTCATGCCCTGGTATAATCCTCACTTATACTGAGTTAGTATAGGTCTATGTGTCAAATGGAACATACAGGAAATGATGGTATGCCACTTCTAAGGCTAGGTCCTAAAATATATTGGGGCATCAGCTATTTTGTTTCCTCTTCATTTATTTGCTCTGGGGAAAGCCAGTCACTATGTCATAAGGATCCTCCAGTAGCCTACGGATTGGCCCCATGTGGCAAGGAACTAGGCCTCCTGGTAATAGCCATGTGAGTGAGCCATCTTGGAGACAAACTCTTCATCTTCAGTCAAGCCTTCCAATGGCTTCAACCCCAGCAGGAATCCTGACGGACTTCTGAGTCAGAGCCAGCAGTCAAGCCACTCCCAAATACCAGACCCATAAAAAGTTTTAGGTAATAAATGTTTGTTGGCTTAAACCACTGAATTTTAGGATGATTCTTTAGGCAGCAGTGGGTAATTCATACATCATTGATCATATCAAGTCAGAGTTAAAAGGGACTCCAGCGATTAAGTAGGGCAAGCACTGATAATTGGGTTTACCATTTCCCATGAGGCTGGAGGAGATTTGATCAGAGCTGGCACATGTTGAGACCTCTTTACTATCCCTGATTCCAAGAGATGCAGGGCTTGGTCCAAGCTTGCATATCTAATTAATGATAAGAACTCCATCCCTTGATTGTAAGTCCAGATCTTTGCCATTATAGTGTGCTACCATTCATAAAAGTGACTTAATTTAACCTTTTTAGTTTTTAGAAGACACCCACCCACTTGCTGAAGATCAGTCACTCAGCTTGTTAAGGATTACTCATCTGGGAAGAAGGTACTATAGTGTTTAAGGAAGTGGAAGATAGTTTGAATGTGGCAGGCTAGATAATGGGCCCTCGGAGATACCCAGGCCCTAATTCTTAGAATCTACACATGCCACCTCATATGGTAAAAGTGATTTTGCAGATGTAGTTAAGTTGAGGATCTTGAGATGGGGAGATTATCCTGGATTATCTGGGCAGAATAGAATCTAAATGTAATCACAACTGTCCTCATAGGTGGGAAGCAGGGAGCAATTTGATAAAGAAAAGGAGAAGGCAATGTGCTGCAGGATTAGAAGAGAAAAGATGATATGATGCAGGGCCATGAGCCAAGGAATGAGACCAACATCCTTCCTGGAAAAGACAAAGAAATAGATTCTCCCCCAGAGCCTCCAGAAGGAGCCAGTCCAGATAACCCTTTGATTTTAGCCCACTGGGGCTGATTTCACATTTCTGACCTCCAGAACTGTAAAACAATCAATTTATGTTCTAATCCATCTCCTAGGCTTGTTAGTTTGTGCATGAGCATCTTTCAAAGACTCTGTTTTGTCCTCTGAAAAATGGGAATAATAAAATATCTATTTCACAGAGTAACTGTTAGATTTTGATCATTCATATAAAATGCTCAGGACAGGACTTGGCTCATGAAAAGTTCTTTATAAAGTTGGCCACTGATTTGGTCTAGACAGGAAGATTGCAACACTTTTTGCCTCCTTTTGAAAATGCAAGTAGAGTACTAAGTAGCTCTTGGGATACAGAATGGATTGAATATTTATTAACTGTTCTGATGTCACTACCCTATCAGGCCCTCTGGCCCTATGCTGGCCTTATTTCCTTCATCCTCCCGATTTTCTTTTCTCAAGAGTTGACTGTAAGATATGGAAAAGGCAAATAGATGGAAGGACTGGAAAATAACCCATGAATGAGAGAACTAAAGACAATTTTGAAAAGATTTCTTTGCCTATTATTTGCTTTCAGGCAAAGCCACACAAAACAGGTGAAAAGTTATCCTGCTTGTAAAGCTCTCTGGAGAGAGAGCGCCCACAAGCTTTGCGAGTAATTTCCCTTGGTGCAGATGAAGGCTGTTCTTGATTTTCAAAGCAGACTGCACTGAGGTCTGTAATTCTCCTTTATAAAAAGAAATAGAATGGTTTTGTTTTTGAGAACTGCTTAATACACAATGCTACCTAAAAGGGTCTGTTGTGAAAGAGGCTGTGTGTCAGTTACCTGGTCATGTCTCTGGTTCGGTTTCGGGACCACTGAAGGTAAGACACAGTAAAGCTGTGCAGAGCTTTTCTTCTCATCCTGGATTACATTTCAAAATTTCACGAATTAGAAAGAGAACATATAATAAATATATTCATTTACATTCTTCATCCCTACACCTCCATTTTCTGTAGACACTTGTATTTTCTATTTTTTTTGTGGATTTGGCATTTGTTTTCTGTTGTTTATATGTGCTGATTACATTTGCATAGATAAATTGCTCTGTGGTTTCTACCATGAGCCCTAGAGGGCAGGAACAGCTTCTATACAATTCTCTTATATGGTGCTTGGGGGAACTCCTTGTGCCCCAGGGCTGTATTGTGATGATAGAGATGACACTATACAACAAAGGCAAAGGAACACTTTTCTTTTTCTTTTATGTATGTATGTATGTATGTATTTTCAAAGAAACATTAAAAAATTGTTTTTTAAGTTTACTTATTTTGAGAGAGAGAGAGAATGAGAATGAGCGAGGTAGGGGCAGAGACAGAAGAAGACAGAATTCTGTCCATGGAGAGCACGACTTGGGGCTCGATCCCACGTACTGTGAGATGATGACCTGAGCAGAGTCAGAATCAGATACATAACTGACTGAACCACCCAGGCGCCCCTCAAAGGAATATATTTTTTTAAGCTAGGGTCTTGTGTTGTTGGTCGTTAGTGGGTGGCTCTCCATTTACAGAGTAAAGAACTGAGGAAGAAGTGCTGTATCATCATGACAAGCAACTATAATTAAATGGCCGAGGTCAGTGATTTTTCTAAAGCCCTACAAAATCCTAGCCCTGTTAGAGATGGCCATGGAAACAAATGAATCTGTTCACTGACCTGGCCTCTAATGCCAGACTAAGGTTTACCCGAAGGATGAAAGACCAAGTTCTCTTCTATCTCTGAACATGTCTCAACCCTGGAGATCTTCCATCTCTGTCGTTGAATCCCAAGTTCGCCCACCCACACGGTGAGCAGCTCATTGGAGGGGAGTACATTTTCCCCACTTCAGCCTGGATTGGCTGATGCTTGGTGAGCTAACAAGGTGTGGTACCTGGTACAGGAGCAGAGTCAGTCTGAAGTCAGCTGACTAGGATGTCCTTCTCTCCGATGCAGACTCAACTACCTAAACAGGTAACGGAGCCAGACATCTCTTAACTGAAGTGGCCTTGTTTAGCCAACAGAGATTGGCAGCTGAGGTGGCAGTAGGAGGTTTACTGCCTCACAGGTGCCATCTGATGGTGGCAGTTGAACAGAACCTTAGTAGGTCCTTCGTGACAGCTTTGTAAGATACTGACTAGAAGCCATGCACAAATTACTTTTTCATAGTTAAACATTTTTTAAATCTTTATTTTTGAGAGAGAGAGAGAGAGAGAGAGGATGAGTGGGGGAGGAGCAGAGAAAAAGGGAGATACAGAATCCAAAGCAGGCTGATGTGGGGCTCGAACCCACAAACTGTGAGAGATCGTGATCTGAACTGAAGTCGGATGCCTAACCGACTGAGCCACCCAGGCGCCCCTCTTTTTCTTATTTAGATGCTCTCATTGTATGAGGAAAGGTGAGGAATGAACAAAGGCACATCCAGAGGGTGATGCTCAACCTCTCCCCAGATAAGAAGCTCACATCAGCCTTTTGCTTTTGTGGGGAATCAAAATTTAACATATAATCTAAAAGTCCTCCCGGCTTATGGAACTCAGTTCACAGGTTCTGGGAGAGAAGATGAAACTTTCATTTATCTTTACCCTATACATGGAGACATACTGTTTGGCATAACTGCTTAAACCAAAAGCTCATAGATTTTGATGCATTTTTATCTGCTTACACAAGATCAACTCCCACCGTAAGCACTGAATTCTGTTTACAGCAGAAGGGCAGGATCCGTGGGTAGTATAACCAGAGTGCTCCATGCTCTTTTTTTTCCCTTTTCTCAGAGACTCCAGAAGAATGTGCCTTTGCACCGCCTCACTAGCATCCCTAAATCATGATTAATTTAAAGCTCTTTCTCTCCTTAGTTAGGCCTGACACATGCGACTGCTTTTCTGTCACATCGATTTTTCTGTTCCTGCAGATTCAAAGCCAGGGTTGAGTCCTCCTAACAGGGCGAGTTCTCTGACAAGGAAATTTTGCAAGCGAATTTTACAGCTGGAGTCAAGCCTGGCAGTGAGGGCCAGAGGGGAACTGTCGCAATCCGCTGGGTAAGTATGCATTTAATAGTGTTTATCCAAGCAAGTTTGTGATTTCTTCACTCTCTCCAACAAATATGTTATTTGTAATACCTATCTTCTCTAATCTAGGTGTTTGAAAAATGCCTCTAATGTGTGTGGGCTAGACTACATTTTGTTTTTCTGTGGGTATGCTCACTTAACAAGGACAGTCTTTGAGGAACTATCAAAAACTGCTTGTCATCTTTCCAAATCATCTCTCTCTGCAGTGACCATGACTTAATCCTGAAGGAAAACAAGGTAATCTTTTCAAATAAACATTCTCAACGATGTTTAGAGAGAACCCAGTTGCTAGTACACAGGACCCTCCCGGTGACTGAAAAGTTATATTGAAGGAGTCCAATTACAGTAAGTTGGAGTGTTTGTAAGCAGTTGGTATTTTCAGACAATTAACAATAATAAGCTAACTTGCAAGCAAAGATGTGTGTGTGTGTGTGTGTGTGTGTGTGTGTGTGTGTGTTGGAAGAGTCACTTAGGATCTTGTTCCCTGGTGCTGCTGGTGGAAAGTGAGGCTCAAAGTGGTTAACCACTTGCAGTAGGTAAGGGAGTTGGTGAGGAACATCAGAATATTTAGAACCTAAGCCCATTAGCTTTCTAGGTGCTAACTTGCTTCTGGTCAGAGTAATGAAGGGATGAGGGAACATTCGATCATGAAGTAAAAAGGGAGTCCTGAAGCCACAGCCATTGGCTGTATGCAGCTTAGTAGTATGCTATTCCTTGTCTTGAGGAACTTGGCGTGAAATAAAAGGAGGAAATGTTGAGTATGGATTGAATAAACAAAACTTACTTGGATGATAGAATTAATTAAATCAATACAGACCAGGGACACGGAGTTTATTGTATTACTGACAACATTATTTTATTACAATTTTCATTTTTTTGCCAGTCTTTTCTCATCTGGTCTCTGGGCTCTTGAAGGGCCTTCGGGCCTGAAGTCCTAGGACATAATGTTGATCCTGGCACCACTGAGGGCAGGAAGAGGTGAATGAATAAATTTAGTTTTGAATTTAGTATTTTTATCTCCTATTGTTTGTGGGCTTGATGTTATCAAATTTATCATTTGTTATTTAAGATGCCCATACATTCAAAGCTTCTTTTGAAATATGTCCCCACTTATACATGACATAAGTACATCATTACCTTGTTAAAAAACCTTATAGCCATGCCATGCAGCAGAAATGCAATGTGACATACCTGTGCAATTTTAAATTTTCTAATAGCCACTGTAAAAAAGTACAAAGAATACTATGTTTTATTTAACTTAACATATCTACAGCATTACCATCTCAACAAGTAAATTAATATTATTAATGAACAAAATTGCTAATGAGATACCTTACATTCTTTTTTTTCACAGTAAGTTTTTGAAATCGAGTGTGCATCTTACACTTCAAAGGCATCTTGGTTCAGATCTACTTTTTAAAAAAAAAAATTTTAATGACTATTTATTTTTGAGAAAGAGAAAGACAGAGCACAAGCTGGGGAGGGGCAGAGAGAGAGGGAGACACAGTATCCTAAGCAGGCTCCAAGCTCTGAGCTGTCAACACAGAGCCTACTGTGGGACTTAAACTCATGACTGTGAGATCATGACTTGAACCAAAGTCAGACATTTAACTGACTGAGCTATCCTGGTGCCCCGAAACTAGAACAGACTTAACTAATAAGTTAAAAAAATACAGGAGTGCAAATCTACTTGGAATTCTTCAGGCTCATAAGAGACATGATCAGAGACTATTTTTCTTTTACATAGCCTTCTTAAGCAACAGGGGTGGGGATGTGCGTGTGTGAGCACGTGCATATGAATAGGTATGAGTGTGTGTGTGTGTGTGTGTGTGTGTGTGTGTGTTCTTTCTTATGCAGCCTAGGAACCTGGAGTATCTTTGTGACAAAGGGGTTGAAAGCAGTGAAATAGCTGCATGCTGGCAATAGCCTATGAATTAGTGGGGATTAAAAAAATTTTTTTATGTTTATTTTTTAGAGAGACAGAGCATGAGCAGGTGAGGGGCAGAGAGAGGGAGACACAGAATCCGAAGCAAGCTCCAGGCTCTGAATGGTCAGCACAGAGCCCGATGCGGGGCTCGAACCCACGAACCATGAGATCATAACCTGAGCCGAAGTCAGACACTTAACTGACTGAGACACCCAGGTGCCCCAGTGGGGATTTTTTAAAGGAAGCAGTGGAGATCTGCTGATTTTCCCTCTCCTGTCTCTTTCTCGCTAGCTCTTAGAACTTTGCCTCTGCTCATGCTTGCGGGTGTTTTGCTCCACTGTAGTGACCTTCATGATGGATCATAAGTCTCATTCTAGGTATTGGAACAATCTATAAAATTCATGAGATCTCCAACCTGTGGGCTAGGGACCCTCGGGAGATTGTAGCCTTGTAAGGTCAGGCATTTGAAAATCCATCCATCCATAGATCTCTTTTTAATCAATGAATAGTAAAAGTGAAATCCTTAGCATGTGGAAGGATAACACTTTTTGACAGCTCCAGGAGAAGACTGAGTAGGCATTCAATAGATATCATCACTACTATGTAACTTGACACAGTTAAATGCCTTATGTGAAGCATTTAACATATGGCATAATATTTAGACTTCATTATTATCTTTGTTGTTTTATAGTAGAAAAACAAATATATATATATACATCTTATTCACTATTCATTTAATAAATTTATTATTTTTTATTTTTTTGATGTTTATTTATTTTTGAGAGAGAGAGGGGGACAGACCATGAGTGAGGGAGGATCAGAGAAAGAGGGAAACACAGAATCTGAAGCAGGCTCCAGGCTCTGAGCTGTCAGCACAGAGCCCGATGCGGGTCTTGAACCCACAAACCAGGAGATCATGACCTGAGCCCAAGTCTGAGACACTCAACTGACTGAGCCACCCAGGCACCCCCAACAAATTTAGTTTTTAAACTATTATGTTCTCAATGAATTTAACATGTGGTAGAGAAAATAAACTTACAAATATATGACTACAAAACCATGCATGACTAAATAAAGAACTAAGAGATGCCACCGCAGAGGAGAGGACGGAAGCCCCTGAGGGCAGAAGTGGGGAGGAATCGAGAAGGGACTTTGAGACAGTCAGAGGAGCTCCCCACAAGCTTGGTGCCCGATGCCTGACACAGTGAAATTCATCTGCTCTATTTCAAATTTCTTTACCTTTTTCCATTTTTCTTTATCTCCCTCCAGATGAGAGTTCCATTATTTCACGATGACAAATGTTACTTCGGTTTTCTGCATCATAGTGACATAAGTGACATAGGGTCATATTCCCAGGGGTGTAGGATTGAGACCCACATCAGGCTCCTTGCTGAGTGTGGAGTCTGCTTCAGATTTTCTCTCTCTCTCTCAAAAAAAAAAAAGTATTTGAGGCTGGAGTTTCCTTACCTGTGAAGTAAGGCAGAATGACCAATTCATCCAGAATAGTATCCCTTTCAAAGTTCAGACACTACAAAGCCTTCAGATAGTGTATTCTGTTTCTGCATTTATGGGCCTTCTGTCAAGATTCATTTCCTGGAAACCACAGTTGAGAATCAAGGTATTGCAGGCAGGCACCAGCCAGTCTACAATGGGAAAATTCCATCTCATTCTATTTATCTATCTATCTATCTATCTATTTATTTATTTATAAATGCTTATTTAGTTTGGGGGGAGGGGCTGAGAGAGGGGGAGAGAGAGAATTCCAAGCAGGCTCTGCACCATCAGCACAGAGCCTGAGGCAGAACTCAATCCCACGAACAGGAAGATCATGACCTGAGCTGAAGTCAAGAGTGAGATGCTTAACAGACTGAGCCACCCAGGTCCCCGTCACCTCATTTTATTTTTACAGAAGTCAAAAGATCATCCCATCAGCTGTAGGATTTCTTCACTTAAATATAGCCTAGGACAGACTGGTGATGATTTGGCAAATCAGAGTACTGATGGCAAAAGAGTTTTAGCAAATGGCTCAGTCTAGCTTACTAGATTTACAAACACAGGACAGTGAGTTTCATCCAATATATAATAAATATCCTGAACTCTCCCTGTCCAGAAGCAAAAAAAAATTTTTTTAAAAAATTAAACATTTTCATATGGATGTAATTTGGAAGCAGATCATCTTAACCTTAGAATTTGGACTTTTCAAGAAATCAGCTTTCTTGTTATAATTAATTTGACTATGCCTGGGAATGCATTTGTATATGTACTTATGAAGTCAGGTAGAGGGGGAAAGAGAGAGAGAGAGACAAAGCATGGGGGGAGATGGTTGTGCTCAGAATGTAGTGTAGGTCTACAGCTTAAAGATCGAAATCATCTTTAAGATTACATGAGAAAATGAGAGGTTAGAAATGGAATAAGTATTTATTGACCCCACTGGTGCACTTAACCTCTGACACTGGAATTTTTTGGTTTCAAAACAGTTTTTAATCTTAGTTTCATTTTTTTATGTAAATGAAAATATCTCATTATGCTCTATGAACACATGTGGCAATTAATACACACTGTATCTCACATTCACCTTAATATCCTTGGAAGATTCTATTTGCCTTTTACAAAATGAATGTTTTGTAACCTCACTGCAGGTTGAAATTGGTATTTTACTTCTCTGCAGGTGAGCATGTGACAGTTTTGCTACATGGTAACTCAATAGAAAGGTCGTATATTGGCGATTACCATGCTCTTCCAGATTTTACATTCATTTTCTTTTTTGAGAGACAGAGAGCACAAGTGAGTGAGAGGCAGAGAGAGAGAGAGAGAGTGAGGGAGAGAGAGAGAAGCAGGCTCACCCCAAGAGGGGCTCAGCTCACCAGCTACGAGATCATGACCTGAGACGAAGTCAGATGCTTAACTGACTGAGCCCCCCAGGTGCCCCAGAATTGTAATGTTTCTTAAAAGGACATGGCTGCAAGATTAAACCCAAAATACTTACTATGGTGCATCTGCAGGGTCATCCTATTCATAATATCAGAATCACAGATCTCGTGACACTCATCCAAGGCCACCCCATCCAACATCAGTGTTTACTAATTATTGGGTAACACTGGAGTGAAAATTGCTGAGATTTCCCACCTAACCTCTTATACTTTAAAAGTAGCCAGCAGGCCTTCATACTGCATCGTGGCTGGCATGTAAAGGCCAGTAGAAGTTGTCACCCAGCATTAACAGAAACTGTCACCAACAACTTCCTGTTTAGTGTGACCGTAACTCCTGCTGCCACTATTATCATGACCATTTATTACACATTCATAGCCTTTGCCATATCAGCAGCAGGTGTATCTCTAAGTCTGACATTCTCTCCATCTCATCTACCCTTTGTGTCCCTTTTTGTCTCACTGTCCCCACAGCTTTGGTTTCACTTGTTCAACCTGTGACTGTTGCTTCAAGGGAGACCATTTTTATGTAAAGCCGAGCAAACTAAACTTGCAAAACTGTTCTGCTATACATTTTAGCCTCTCCCTGCTTGGAATTTATATATTAACAGCATGCAAAGTCTTTGAAACCGAGCGTTGGCACAAAGCTGCATCCAGACCGTGGTACACTGGGCTGTTGAATTTCCACACCCGTGTCACCTCCTTGTCACCTACCTCACAATGCAGTAGGTAACCTACAGCCAAAATTTTAGGTTTCTTTCTTCCTTCATCTAAAGTAAAATACCAGACTAGTGTGTGAAATAACGTGGCTCGGAGGTATGGTAGTGTGACCCATGGGGTTAGTGGCTGTGGAGATCCGACAGCAGATGTTTTAGGACGTTTGCCTCTTCTACTTTCTGTTTGTTCTCTCTTGAATTCTTTCTGCCCACCAGCACATCATTTCTGCCAAGCCAGAGAAGCTCTGACGTTTGGCCCAAAGAAAGGCCGTGCTGTGTAGCTCACTCATCTGGAGGCTGGTATAGAGGGACAAGTCAAGCTTGCCCTGAGTTCGGCTCTGTCAAGTCCCTGCCCCCACTGTCCAACAACAAACCCTGACCCATTTCTTAAGCAACATGGCAAGAGAGAGCAGGGAACCCTCCTTTGTTTGTTTTTCATTCATTCATTTGAGGTAAAGTACAGTCTACCTCTTAGCTGCGAAGCACGGGGGTCTCCATGAGCGTGTGAAGGAATATAGCATCTGGTTCCTGTTCTGTCTGTTACTTCCAGGATACTCCCCACCCCCATTCCCTGACTTACAATCTAATAGTTAACTGCAGAAGGGCCTTCCTCCTTTGGAAATCTCTACTGAATTATAAAAACTGGGGGAATTGGAACTTAGGAACTTTTCTAGATTTGCTTTCTTTTTCTCCCCTAAGCACACCTCACGAAGCAACTGACCTGTACCATTCATTTACCATCACCTGAACCTAACCTGCCCTCGACAGCCTGCAAAACTCATTGAATCCTTGCCTTCTGCACCCAGCACCCTGTGCTGCCCCCATCACTGGGATACACATCTTTCTTTTTCAAATCATATTTCAAATATGTCTTCCTTTCCTCTGGGTAAACTCCTCTTTTGCCTGTGGACCCAGTGAAAATGACAGAGAAAAGAATCAACTTTGAAATCTAAAGGATCTCTGCTCTTGGACTCGACTACTTACTAATTATGTCTTACTGGAAAAGTTACTGGGATTCTCTGAGCCTCAGCTTCCTCATCTGTGAAACAGAGATGATACTACTGCAAAAGAGTTATGGCTTTTTGATGGAGGTAGATAACATAAATGACCCAGCTCGGTATCTGGCACTTGGCACTCCCCAAATGTTAGTGAATATCCCTTCTCAGAAACCTCCACTGTTACATTCCTATTTAGATAGCTGTTTGCAGGATTATGTGTTTGACTCCAAGTGACTTAAGAATAGACATGGTGGCGTATTCATGTGGGGCTCCCTTCAGCCTTGCACCGTGCTTTGTACCTAACAGATGCTCAGACACCTTGGATACACCAATGTGTCACTGTAAAAATATAAATGATCATCGATCTGTGAAGAGCCAGGCACAGTGGGTGAAAAGCAGGTCGGGGTACAAAGCCCAGTTCCTTTAAAGCCTTTGCTGAGCTTTGCAGGGTTCTTAAGGGTAAGGTAGTTGCAGGGAGAAAGTGATCATCTCTGTGTGCAGGCTCAAAAAATTCAGGGCCCCAAGGTGACCTCTTCCCAGGATAACGGGCAAGATGAATCAGGAGAAGAGAGAACAGAGATGGGGCCAGCTGTTCTCAGATCTTAAGACATCCCAAACAGGAGGGAGAGACTCGGTTTTTCCAGATTAATCTTTGGTGATTTATTCTTCAGACATCATTTCAAAGGAGCATTTTAAAGTAAATTAATTGACTTCCCATGACCTTTTACCTGACTTGTATCATCAAAAGAAACTAGATCTTGAAACTGAAAAAAAAATGCTTGATTTATTTTTTGTGACTTACAAACTACCGCAAAATGGCAAGTTTTTAAAATTCTAAATATCCCCCCCCCCCCGCCATTTACGCAGTACGTTGAAGCAGCTCAAGTTTGGAACATCCCAATTTTAGCAAATGAGTTTGAGTGAGTGAGTGAGTGAGTGAGGGGTGTTGTATGTGTGGGTAAATGATAAATGTATAATCTGAGACACACAAAAATGAGAAAGTATTGGCTGTTTTTAAAACAGTCATTTCCCCTTTCAACCGTACTGACTTGATGATATTCTTGAGTTCCCCTCTCTCCAACAATACTTGAGTATTGTTCTCACTGTCTTTAAATAGTGAGTAAATTCTTGAGTAAATTCTCACTAGTAGAAGCTGGTGGCCTTTGAAGTGCGGGTAGCAGTCAGTCTATCAGGGAGTTGCAAGATCAATTTAGTGGGGTTTTCTTTTTTTGACTAAAGGAGTAGAGTAGTATAGAGAGTAAAATAGAAAAGAAAATATCTGAATGCATCACATAGGAAGGATGTATTTTATTTTGTTAAACATTCATTTGCATTTTATATATGAATCATGAAATGTGTTTATGCATGTGGTGAGTTGGGATGTACATGTAATTTTCAGTGTGGACATATCTGTGATGTGATGGTGATGAAGCTCTGGCCAATGAAATGTCAAGGGAGGTCTGGTGGGAAGGGCTGGGTACAGATGGGATCTGGGGAAAGAGTATTCACTTGAATCATGGTACAGCGTAGAGCTACTGTCTTTTCTCTTATCGGATATTGTTGTACCTGTACGTGCTTTCTAGAACTGTGGTACCATCTTGCAACCATAAAGGGAATTCATATGAGATCATGTTGAATTTAGCAAAATGGAGGGAAGGTGGAAGAAATCTGGGTCTTAGGTTTATTGTTAAACTGTGATATTAAATACTTCTGGAACTATTCCAGCTCTGGACTTGTTACATGAGATAATAAATCCCCTTACTGTTTAAACCACTTGAGTTAGTATTTTGTTACTCATAGCTGAAAGAACCCCAAAGGATAAAGAAAGCTTATGTTAGGAAGTGCAAGTAAATCAAACACTGATAGATTGGTCTGGCAGTGGGAAAGCTTGAATAGGTAGAGGGGATCAAAACATGAAGGATGTTGAGTTTCAGGTCCAAGCATTGTTATGGAGACAGTACAGTCTTGTGGTCATGAATACAGACTCAGGAGTAGATTGTCTGAGCTCAAACCTGTGTCCTACTTATTAGCTGGGTTACATGGGGAAAGTAATTTTTTAAAATATTTATTTATTTTTAAGAGAAAGAGAGAGAGAAGGAGAGAGAGCAAGCAGGGGAAGGACACAAAGAGAGAGGGAGAGAGAGAGAATCCCAAGCAAGCTCCTTACATCAGTGCAGAGCCCAATGTGGGGCTCAAATTCACAAACCATGAGATTATTACCTGAGTGAAAATCAAGAGCCAGTCACTTAATTGACTGAGCCACCTAGGCACCCTAGGGAAGTAACTGTTTTGAGCAGTGTGTTGGAATATTTATTAATCTGGTGCCATTGTCCAGAGTGGATTGGAAGTCAGAAGAAATTGGAGGTGGTGGAACTAGAGAGAAGATTGTGGTGAACCATGAGGGTGTGGTTTGGAGGTGGAAAGAAAACCCATAGGAAGGAGGCGTAAGCAGGTGGACTTGACAAACTGGCTATGGGAGACAGGCCTTGGGAAGGACTCAAGTCTGGTATTGATTTCAGTGCTGGAATTCTCCAGCGGGAAAGGGATGTGTGTGGTGCGGTGGGACTCAGGAGTGGGCAGGGGGTAACTTCCCATGATCCCCTTTACGGGATGGTGCTGTATGCACTTACTATTTCCTCATCTCAAGCCCATTTTATGGAAGGTGTGCTGAAGTTACAAGAAGTTAAGAAGCTTTTCCTATGATATAGTAAATGGCAAAGCCTAGATTTAATCCCAGGTCATTTTTACTTTCAATCTCTTGAGAGTCATATGAAATAGCGAAGTCATTAGGAAGAGAACAGGTTTTAGTGAGAAGACAGAATTTAATAGATCCATAATACAGATAAGTAAATAAAGGAAGGATGGTGAATAGGACTCGAAGACAGATATTTTTTAACTGATGTGTTTTTTTTCTAATTGAAAAAAATAAAAAGTCAGGTGAGAAAACAAAGACAACAGAGAAGCAGGAGGAATGGTTGTGAGGACAATGAGAACAGCATAGAGGCAATGAGTCCCATCAGGGAGTGTACAGTGGGAGATGTCCCCACCCAACCTGGGTGTCACTGCTTGAGGAAAGAAGGGAGTGAGGGCTGAGAAAAGAGCACCAGATACAATAGTAAGTGGCTTCCTGGTGACTTTCAATCAAGAAATCCCAATAAGCTTGACAAACATATATGCTAGATTATAGAATATCGGAGTGAGTGGAGAGAGACTATGGACCATTAATGGAAAGTTGCAATGGAAAGTAAAGATTTGACATGAAAGGGAAGATAGTCTCTTGTTTAAAGTAAAAAAAGAAGGAGATGGTGATGGAAATAAGCTGATGATACTTTAGAAACGGAGACTAACTGACGAAACAGGAATCTATAGAAATCTAGACGGAAGGAGGGAGGGAGGAAAAGCAACAGAAGAAGAGGAAAAGGAGTCATTGTCCCCAGAAAGTAGGAAGGATTTTTTTTTTGAGAGAAAGAATGGAAGCAATCTGTGTATCAACTGTTTTGTAATTTAAAAGAGGTAAATATGAGTATAAGAACTAGGTATTAGTATTCAGGGAGCAGGAGAAATTACAGGCTGTGACTTTATCCTGCAACACATAATGCCTTCAGGAGATGGTGAGGAGAAAATAGACACTTTGCAGGGGATGTGGAATTTGCAACCAATTCAAGAAAATGGTACAGGGACATAGTGAATGCACACTGAAGTGATGTCGGTGTTCACCCTCTGGAGCAGATTCTGAGTGGTGCTGTCATTGGAAAGGGCTTAGAATGCTAGTCATGGCTCTGCTGTTATTAGTTGGAAAGTCTTTTTTATTGTATTTTATTTATTTTTTATTTTATTTTATTTTTTAAAATTTATTTAAAGAGAGTGAGAGAGAGAGAGCTAGAGGGGCAGAGAGAGAGGGGGAGACAGTAAGTCTCATGTAGGCTCCCACTGTCAGCATTCAGGGCTCCAACGCATGAACCATGAGATCAGGACCTGAGCCAAAATCAAGAGCCAGACACTTAACCGACTCAGTCACTCAGGAACCCCTGGAAAGTCTTCTTTAAAAAAAATATTTATCTTCTCAGAGCTAGAACAAAAAATCCTAAAATTTGTATGGAACCACAAAAGACCCCGAATAGCCAAAGTAATGTTGAAAAAGAAAACCAAGGAGGGAGGCATCACAATCTTGGACTTTAGCCTGCACTACAAAGCTATAATCATCAAAACTGTATGGTATAAACACAAAAACAGACACAAAGACCAATAGAATAGAATAGAGAACCCTGAACTGAACCCACAAATGTATGTTCAACTAATATTTGACAAAGTAGGAAAGAGTATCTGATGGAAAAAAGACAATCTCTTTATCAAATAGTGCTGGGAGAACTGGACAGCAACATGCAGAAGAATGAAAGAAATAACTTTCTTATACCATACACAAAAATAAACTCAAAGTAGATGAAAGAACTAAATGTAAGATAGGAAACCATCAAAGCCCTAGAGAAAACAGGCAACAATCTCTCTGACCTCAGTGCAGCAGCTCCTTACTGATACATCTCTGAAGGCAAGGGAAATAAAAGCAAGAATGAACTATTGGGTCCTCATCAAGATTTATCTCATCAAGATAAAAACTTTCTGCACTGCAAAGGAAACAATAAACAAAGTTGAAAGGCAACCGATGGAATGGGAGAAGATATTTGTAAATTACATACGGGATAAAGAGTTAGTATCCAAAATCTACAAAGAACTCAACCCCCCAAAAACAAATAATCCAGTGAATAAATGGGCAGACGACATGAATAGACACTTTTCCAAAGAAGACATACAGATGGCTAGCAGGCACATAAAAAGATGTTCAACATCACTCATCATCAGGGAAATACAAATCAAAATCACATTGGATACCACCGCACATCAGTCAGAATGGGTAAAAATAACAACTCAGGAAACAACAGATGTTGGCGAGGATGTGGAGAAACGGGAACCCTCTTGCACTGTTGGTGGGAATGCAAACTGGTGCAGCCGTTCTGGAAAACAGTATAGAAGTTCCTCAAAAAATTAAAAATAGAATTACCCTATGACCAGCACTAGCACTACTAGGAATTTATCCAAAGGACATAGAAGTGCTGATTCATAGGGGAACATGTACCCCAATGTTTATAGCAGCACTACTAACAAAAGCCAAATTATGGAAAGAGTCCAAATGTCCATCAACTGATGAATGGATAAAGATGATGTGCTTTATGTACACAATGGAATACTACTTGGCAATGAGAAAGAATGAAATCTTGCCATTTGCAACAACATGGGTGGAACTGGAGGGCATTATGCTGAGTGAAATAAGTCAGTCAGAGAAAGACAGATATCATATGTTTTCACTCATATGTGGAACTTGAGAAACTTAATAGAAGACCATGGGGGAAGGGAAGGGAAAAAAAAAGTTACAGAGAGGAAGAGAAGCAAACCTTAAGAGACTCTTAAATACTGAGAACAAATTGAGGGTTGATGGTGGGGAGGAGAGGGGAAAATGGGTGATGGGCATTGAGGAGGGCACTTGTTGGGATGAGCACTGGGTGTTGTATGTAAGCGATGAATCCTGGGAATCTACTCCAGAAGCCAAGAGCACACTGTATACACTGTATGTTAGCTAACTTGACAATAAATTATATTAAAAAAAATAAATAAAGCACTTTTTAAAGAATAAAAAATTAAATATTTATCCATACACTCACTCATCCATTCATTCTTCAGTTTATTTTATTTTTATATTAGAACACATTGCCTATAGCTCTTTACTGTTTTATTGTGGAAATTCATCAGGAAGACAGAAATGATGAAGATGAAGATGAAGATGAAGATGAAGATGGCGAAAAATGACAGCAAGAGGAATAGCAATAGCATCTGATAATTATTTGACTCTTCCTATGGTGGGCCACATAGTATTCTAGCTTTCTATGTGCATTAACTTATTTAACCCTCCCATCAGTTCGGTGACTTTATTAAAATTGCCCCCCGGCTTATAGAAGAAACACAGATAGAGTGAATTTAGTGGCTTAAATTTAACAACTAAGAAGCGACGAACCAGGATTTAGCCCAAGTACCCAGGCTCCAGAGAAAGAATTGTGCAAATATAAAGCCTTATCTTTTGCCAAATATCAATACAAAAGAACCAAAGTATTACATTCTTAGAACAGGCTAAGCAATTTTCAACAAGGGACATTTTTTAAATTAATGAATTTATCTTGATTACTTAAGGTATCTGTTTTCCTAATCCCGTTAGCTCTTGATAATGTTGTGTTGCCACGGTTTTGTTTGTTTTTC